GTGTTTTTCCCACTTTTGGGGACACCTTGTGAGGGAAAGTTCAGTACAGTGGACACCACACTATGTTTCCCTCACTCTGTCAATAAAGGCTTTGGCCCCAGTGTTTGCCCAACACAAAACACACAAAGCTACGAATCAAATTAATTCGTTTTGGAGAGGAGACCTCTCTCCGCAAAGAAAACTTCTCACTGCAGAGAGAGGAAATCCCTCCAAACCCCTGCATGTTGCCTCTAGTGTTCCCACTAGATGGCGCCTTTGCATCACAAATGAACCAGCTGGGCCCATACAGCTCCGCTCCGGCCCGAGCGGGGGCGCTCGCGAGTCACAAAGCGGCTTGGCAAGCCGTTTCAGCGCCCGAGTGGGTTTTTGCGTACTGTAACCCAGGGTTACAAGCTGCAGTTTGCAATAAAACCTCCGCATTTCAACGGCGTTCTCTCTTCTCACACAGAAGAAAACGCCACACACATTCTGAAAGAGGAAATTTCCTCCCTCCTAACAAGGGAGCGATTCAGATGGTGCCACCCAATCTGATAAACCATGGTTTTTATTCCTGGTATTTTCATGTTCCAAAAGGCGTGGCGCCCCCCCGCCCTATATTGGACCTTCGAGTGTTGAACAAACATTTGAGGAAATTCAATTTCAGAATGTGACACAAGCCTCTCTCGCCTGTGCCATAAAGCAGAACGACTGGTTCACATCAGTCGATCTGAAAGATGCTTTCTTTCACATAAGCATCTACCCTCCACACAGGAAATATCTTCGTTTCGCCTACCAAGGCGTTTGTTACGAATTCACAGTTCTTCCGTTCGGGTGCAATTTGAGTCCCCGAACTTTCTGTCTGTGTGTGGAGGTGGGCGTGGCGCCCCTGAGACTATCAGGGCTGAGAATTCTGACTTACTGGCTCATCATAGCCAAATCAAAGGAGAAGGTGTCGCTGGGCACCGGCCGGGTGCTCGCGCACATCACATCCCTCGGGTTCAAGGTGAATGCGAGCGAAAACAATCTGACTCCCAGTCAGAATGTCATTTTCCTGGGCTTGGAATTGAACTCAGTCTCCATGCGAGCGCGTCTCTCTCAAGAGCGCGTTCGCTCGCTGATGGACTGTCTGTCTCAGTTCAGTGAAGGGGCGAGAGTACAATATCGCACATGCCTCAGGCTGCAGGATCTCATGGCTTCATCTATCCAAGTTGTGCCATTGGTCTCCTGAGAATGAGAACGTTCACGAAATGGGTTTTGTACACTACATTTCAGCCCGATTTGCGATCTCTGCCGCTCGGTAACGATGACGCGCGCCTGCTCGGCGGCCTTGCGCCTTTGGGTGAGTGAGAACTTTTACGCACAGGGAACCCCCCCTCGGGACGGTACGATGCGAAAAGTTTTGACGACAGATGCGTCCTTAACAGGCTGGGGAACCACCCAGGAAGGCAGAACGGTGAACGGTCTGTGGCTGAGCAGACTACGTTCAGCGCACATTAACTATTTAGAGCTTTTACTATTTGGAAAGCTCTGAATCATTTTCTGCCTTGCCTGCAGGGACATCCTGTTCTAGTACGGTGCGATAATACCACGGTAGTGGCTTATATCAACCGTCAGGGTGGCATGCGCTCGTCAAAACTCCACGCTCTAGCTTACAGGCTTTTGGTGTGGAGCAGACAGGTTTTTCTGTCATTACGCGTGACTCATGTCCCGGGCATTCGGAACAGAGGCGCGGATCTGCTATCGAGGGGAAACCCAATCCACGGGGATTGGCGTCTTCACCCGCAGATAGTGGAGAGGTTATGGATGAGATGGGACAGGCAGCCGTAGATCTTTTCGCCTCGCGCGAAAATCACCATTGTCCTATGTTCTTCTCGCTGAAGGACATGGACGCGCCCCTCGGGGCAGACGCACTGGCCCACCCATGGCCCAAAGTGCTGTTGTATGCTTTTCCTCCCCTGTGCCTGATAATTTTCACTCTGGCCAGGGTGAGAGAGCACGGCCTGTCTCTCACTCTAATAGCACCCAGGTGGCCCAAAGCCCCATGGCTGGCAGAGATAATCCCTCTGTTATACGCCGAGCCATGGCGCCTCCCCCCTCGCACGGACATACTGTCCCAAGCCAACGGGGAGATTTACCACCCCCACCCGGACAGGGTGGCTCTCTGGGCCTGGCCCGTGAGAGGACGAACCAAAATGCACTGGGGCTCCCGCCGCGTGTAATCGCCACTACTCAGAAGGCCAGGGCCGTTTCCGCGCGATCCCTATATGGCTGTAAGTGGCAAGTGTTCGAAGGGTGGTATGATGGGCGTGGTTTCACATCTTATCAGTGCTCGGTGCCTGATATTTTGTGTTTCCTGCAAGACCTCATGGAAAGAGGCAGGTCCTTTTCCACTATTAAGGTCTACCTGGCTGCGATTTCAGCCTGTCATGTGGGTTTTGGGGCTCCACCGTCAGGCAGCACCCTCTAACCCGCAGATTTATGGAGGGTGCACGCCGCTCTTTGCTGGTCATCAGGAGATCTGTTGTATCTGTCCCAGAGTGGGACCTCTCCATGGTGCTGGAAGCGCGGTCTCTGTATCCTTTTGAGCCTCTGGGGAGTATTTCCCTTAAGCTGCTGTCCCTCAAGACAGCTTTGCTCTCGGCCTTGGCATCTGCTAAACGGGTCAGTGAGCTACATGCACTCTCGGTTCACCCCTCGTGCGCCAAATTCTCCCTAAGTGGAGATAAGGTTTTCCTTAAGCCTAACCCGGCCTTCATGCCGAAATGCTTCCCTGCGTTCACGTCGGAGGTTTTGGAGCTATCCGCTTTTCACCCTCCACCCTTTGGATCAGGGGCTGAATGCTCTGTGTCCCGTCCGTGCTCTGCAAGCATAATGACCAGGACCAGTGCTTTCCGCAAGAGCGACCAGCTCTTTGTTTCTAGGGCTCCCCTGCACAAGGGGAGTCCCATTTCAAAGCAATGCCTCTCACATTGGCTTGTGGACGCTATACTATGGCTTATGAAGCAAAGGGAGTGCAGCCCTAAGGGGCATCAGAGCTCATTCCACAAGGGGCTTAGCCGCCTCTTGGGCTTTGTTCAGGGGAGTGCCACTGCAGGACATCTGCTCCGCGGCCAGCTGGGCCTCTCCTCATACCTTTGAGCGTTACTACCGGTTGGATGTCACCAGAACTTCGGTGGCACACTCGGTCCTAGGGGTAGGGTCCTCTTAGCCCTTTCCCACAGCCCCGTTTGGTTAACCAACGAGGAGTGAATGGGCCGGCTGGCCATGTTCATTCCTGTCACCAAGCATTCGCATTCCTTCTTGGGTTTAGCTATGTGCATTGGTGGTGCGGGGGCCATTATCATGTATGTGTCTCATGCATGTTTCATGCCCTGCTTGTCCACAGCAGTTAGCGTGGCGGAAAACTTGCAGGGTCATGTTTGTGGGACGTGTCAGGCACCGCCTCTCTGAGGTGACCGTCCTTCTCTGGCCTTCAGAACCTCACTGTGAGTGTATTGGGCAATCGGGGAGCTGTCCATGTCTCTCCCATAGGTGGATCTCGAAACGAGATGATGAAAGAGAACAATAGGTTACTGTCGTAACCCCGGTTCTCTGAAACATCGAGTGGAGAGATCCACCAGCCTTGCCCCGCTTGCCGCACGAGAAGCGAATATACTGACTGAGGAATAGCAGCGCGCCCAGCTGTGATATGCCCGTAGGTAAGGGGGTGTGGCCTCACCTGGCATTGGCTGCGCGCTTCTGTCTGTTAGCCAGACTTGGTGCAATTGGATGCTTCTGCAGAGGTCAGGTACGGATGCCCTTCCCATAGGTGGATCTCTCCACTCGATGTTTCAGAGAACCGGGGTTACGACAGTAACCTATTGTTTTATAATTGCACGATTCCAAACTGCAAGCAATAAGCTCTAATTAACATATTTGTTTTACATATTCATTAGTGTGATTTTTGTCAACATCTGTTATTATGGGAAGGCTAATGATGGATGCAAAATGCAAGGCTTTGGAATAAGAGGGGTGACATATCTGCCAATTATACTATAATTCTGGATGTACACACACTTTATGGACTGAAAAACAGGAAGTGGTGTATGCAGTTGTGCATAAAAAGTTGTGTATGCAGTTTGTGACAGTGATTGCATACTGTGTGTGTGTGTGTGTGTCTCTGTCTGTGCACCCTAATTAAAAAGAAACTGTGTTTCTGCAACACATGCTCCCCGTCAAAACTGCTACTGCGCTGATATTGACTGGAGAATTATGACAAGGAAAAAAAGGTTTAAGATAACATCATCCTTTCCTTTTTATCTCTCTGAAGATAGATTCAACTTTTTAAAAGAATTAATCGACCATTAGGGAAATCAATCACTGCTAGCAAAACAATGAAGAAATGTATGCAATCTTTAGTTTCAACACTTCCATCCATCCATTCATCCATCCAGTATCTTACTGTACCAGTTAAGGATAGTGTCTCATGCCACTTATCATACCATTTTCAGTATCAGACAGAATAATAAAATATTAATATAAATGTAAATTTAAAGATGAAATGTAAATTTTATGTATAATAATTTATAATAGTTTGATATAATTATAGAAAACTAATAATAAAATAAAATATAATATAATACTGTTTATGTATTTCCATCTAGTTAGACTGTACTAATTAGGGATAATTTTGATAATTTTGTCTCATGCCACCTATCCTGCCATTTATTAGTATGAGACAGAATAATAAAATATTTATTTATTTTTATAAATTATTATACAGTAATTAATCAATAATTATAGATATCTTATTTTAGACTAAAATAATGTATCTTATCAGTGCTTCTTAATATCTTGCCATTGAGATATAGCTCTGCTTAGCAATTACCTTCCATTATGTGAAAAAAGAACCTGCATCTAATGTGCTTCTCAAGGGCCGAAGCATTTGAATCCCTTCAATACATTCACATTAAAAGCTGCTCACAATCATCAAAAAATCCGCAGCACAAGCAAACAAACCAAATCAACTGCATGATTCTTACCTCACACGGGGGCCATTGCGTAGCGGCTCTCGAATGGTACGTCCGGGCAGCGTGCGGCGGTTAGCCGTAGAATAATCAGGCTCTAGGTCGTACGCCTCTTCGTCATCTGGGCCGAGACTGCGGCGGTCGTCTTCCAGGCCATAGGGTTCAGGTTGGAAGCGCTCAGGCTGAGAACGATTAAGATCCACGGTGCTACTTCCCATAGGGACTTGAGGCTGGGCCACATGGCCATAGTCTTCCTTGCGGATGGGGAGAGTGTAGCTATTCTCCGGCCGGTATCCACCGGTGGGCATGTACGGCCTATAGGGCCTGTAGTTGACTCCGCGTGAGAGACTTCCGTAGTTCTCGGGCATGTCTCCATATCCATCGTGAAGGCCATAATGGCGAAACTGACTGTCTGGAGTGTCATTGTAGGAGTCGCTGTAATTGTTGTAAGAGCGTGTGAGGGTGGAAGTGGCCTGGGGTGTGATGAAGCGCTCGCCGTTCTTCATGTAGCGCCGATCAATGGAGTCGGTGTAGCTCCCCAGTGGAGATGAGCCCTCTGGAAGAGGAAGTCCGTCGGGACCCATTGGTACCTGTCGAACTGTCCGTGTTGTCACTGTCTTGACCATCTTAGTGACCTAAGATGATGCAAAAATGCAACAGAATCAGTTTGTGTCAGAAGTGAAGGTCTGTGCTTTTTATGCAGAGTGAGTCTAGTGAGTCGTTCCCTGTCTTAAATGCCTTATGCAGGGCATATATGTGATATTAGGGCCATTCAAAATGAAGCCATTATGTCAGATTGCTCAAATCATAGCAGCCAAAACAACCACAGGCATTTATGAGTGAAATGTAGCACACTGACTTAGTGGTCTAACATCAGCAGGGAAGTGGGTGTCACACTGTGAGCTGGCTGAGTAGCAGTATAATGACTGAAGATCTTTTCCAGTCCCTTAAAATGCTTTGTGTTCATCAGTAATGAAACAGCTGGAACTGAAAATATATGGACACATTTCAACAACATTCTCAGTAGTTGTTACAAAGTTTCTCATCATAAAGAAACTTTGCTATCAGTTAAGTTTTCCTAGGAGCAGCTTTATTTACTAGTTAAACGAAGAGACTAAGGGCATGTTTTGCTAGAAAACGTTTTAAATGCTACATTACTGTTACAGGAATTGTCAGCTTATCATCACTTGTCAACCTGAAGTTCTCTTCAGTTATAATCTTGGAAAACAAAATAAATGAATGCATTTAAAAAAAATTAAAATTGTTTAAAAGTTTGGATCAGCAATGTATGTAAATATGATAAACATTTTTACTAAACGAGGGACTTACTTTTAAACACACCCCTTTGAGGAACCTTAAAAAGGAAACCACAACCACATATAGTATGTTACTAAGAGAGAGTAGTGTATACTGTACAACACTAAATCAATCAACATAAGAACTGCCACAAGACTACATGGGACCTAAATTATGTTATAGTTCTCTGTGTCTATCACTGGACATTGATGTCTTTATGACTCAACTTAAATAAATCACTATTCCCCTCTGAGTGTTAATCCAGTCCCTTATTCTACAAAAATGTCTGCCTGTCAAGAGGATGGAGTGCTGCTGCTCCTGAAGGTTCAATGCTGATACAGAAACCAATTTGCTGCTCAGTGAATTCTGCAGAGCAATTAATTGGCTATTTTGTCCATGGCTGTAAATTCATCTTGGAAATTAATGAGCTTGATAAAAATTAATCGTCATTGAAGATGAACCATGACTGCTTGAATTTGTGTGTGAGCCCTTACAAGCCACATGGCCAGTTGTCAGTGTGTAATATCTCAAGGGATGTGTCTGTCTATAGAGGTCTGTTACCACAAAAAGATCAGTCACAAATATTCACATTTGTATACTTCAGTATACGTTTTACCAATGGGGTACAAACAGATAGATGTTGATTTTGACAAACAGATAAGATAAATGCAGCAATCACCCCCATGTCAATTTAATTGGGGGAAGTCATCGGACCTGCTGTACTGTTTGCAAGTATGCATTGCACTCAATTGCATTATCCAACTGTATTCATAAGGTGAATTACATATGTAGCTGTAAGACTGACTGTCTGCACTCCTACTGGTTGTTGCCAGTGTTGCTTCTCTGTTACATCGCCAATTGTCTCTGTTGCTCATACCGTCCCAAATCGTCCCAACTTTAAGCTGCGCCATCTCTACAAATCGCTGTCAGTGTGAACACTCCTTAACACCCACACATGAGGTTAACATCTATTATGTGAAAACATACACCAATCTCTTTTAAAGTCAACATATAAAAATTTGCTTGAAAAAATGTGATGTGCTGCCGCACATTGTTCCAAATATATACATTTTTTTAATATAACTACTTGTTCTTCTCCTGAAACAAATTTTCTTGCTTATTAAAATATCATCCTTAATTGTGTTTATTTAGCGAAAACCTGTGGAAAACATGCATTTTTACTCTATTAATTTACATATATTTATATATGAAAAAAATGTTTAGATAAAATGAAGTGCAAGCAGCATTTAATGTTGACTTTAAAAAGGTTATTGAAATTGAATGTGAAACATGGGCAAGTTTAAAGGTAGAAGGACACTGAGGCTTATATTTAGACTAAGCTTAACCACCAAGGCTACTGTTGCCTCTAATGAAAGGTGTCTATCTACAGCGATGGCTGTTTACACTAATGTTTGCCTGTTAAAAGGTGCATGCAGATTTTTCATGGCCATAGATTTTACAGTTCCATAAGGGTTTTATGATCTCCCTGGTATTTAGTTTTACAGACCGCTGCCACACCAGCTGTGAGTTACAGACACAGTTAAGTGAGATGAAAGACGGGAGGCAGAGACATGTCAACCAGAAGCACTCTTTACTGGTTTTGTTTCAGATGTAGTAGATGGAGGAATGGGAGTAGATGGTTTGGACTGGCTCAGGACCACTGGCTGGAAGGTTCGTCGTGTGATGGTTTTAACCACTTTGGTCACCTACAGTGAAAGTATGTCAGTTCAGGAGACGTTAGTCAGAAAAGGATATAGTAATAATGGAAATGTTAAGCCTTGTAAGAATGGCAGTTAAATGAAAGCCTGTTTAAAAAAAAACTAGGACTTTTCCCATGAAGCCTCGTTAATAGTCCAGAATATTCCAAAACACAAACTGGGCCAGAGAATTAATTTCGATATGAATTATCTGGCTAAACAAGAAAACATGAGAATGCCTTTGAGACAAAATATTTTTATTGTCTCATTTTGTCCTTCACAAAAGAGTAATTTCAGCATTTAATTAAATGTTCCTCTAGCAGGACGATTTCCAAGAGGAGAAAACACAGAAGCAGAGAAAGACGCATACGAGAGAAACACATTATTTTATCGAAGGCTTCTACATGTAAACTGTTTTTTTTTCTTTAAACTAAAAGAATGGCAATAATATTTCATTAATTTATATTATTTATTTAAAATTCAAAATTCTTTCATTAATAATATTTTTCTAATTCTTTATAAATTATGTTTTGGCTATTCATTTTATTAGATACAATTTTAAGTAATCTTTGAGTCAGTTTGTAATGTTTCTAGTCTATAATCTACTCATTCTAATCTACTACTATAATCTATACAGTTATAGAATCCCTATCAATATATATACACATTTTCACTATTTGTACACTAATGGATGTCCGCTGAAAATAAAGGCATGTTTCAACATCCTGTCAACTAAAGTGCCTGCATCTAGTCGGTTTTCGTTCTGTAAGCACAGGATTATGGGGTACATTTATGCTGCAAACGATATCCCACAATGGTGTGTATGCGATTCAATGGTGGAAAGAATAAAAATGGCATCTGATGAAGCATATGAATCAATCAATTCATCAATATCCATTTTTAAATATTTTTCAAATAATTCCATTTCTACTATGCTCCAATCAGGATTTTTGTAGCCAATCCCGACTACTGATTTCTTGTCATCATGTTCGGCCAATACCGATCTCGATCATTCAACACTGTTCGATTGATCTTGACACATCGTCCATCCATACAGGAGATCCTAATACAAATGTTTTGAAAAGTTACAAAGCAGAATGTGGCGCAAAAGCCGGTCTAGTTTACATGCAACTTTTTTCGGTTTTATTTTGCGTTCAAATTGCGATCGGTTTGTGAGATCGGACAAATTTAGAGACTACCGATCGAGTCAGAGAATGTGATTATCGGCCGATACCGATCTGCGGCCGATCGATCGGAGCATCCAGTCGTAGTATTTCCTTGGGTCTCTCTGGATGAATTTGTTAAAGAGCATTAGATAAGATGTTATGGTGCCAATTTCTTTAGGAAGTACATTTATGTTGACTGTGAACATTAGCTTCAAACACATCCAGGAAGTAATAGAACGCTAGGATTTTGCCCTTGACCCAGAGCTATTTATCCTACACTGGCTGGAGGTGATGTATTTACGTGACTATAAGCTTGTCTCCACAACCCCCATATCAGCTGGAAACACACTAACATGTGACAGAAGGACCCATAGATCTGTGCACAAATGCACCTCACACACTGTGCTGTTATTCCTTTTTATGTGTTTCATAAGTTTGGCCGTGTGTGAGTGGTCTAATGGTGACAAACAGTGCAGCAGTGAGATCATTCTTTACCCTTCACTTCCTTCCACTGTGTATTCCTTTGTGTTACACTGTAGAACAGGGCCGTTTCTATGCACATTGGTTAATGCTTGTGCATGCATATAGCTGTTTATTTTTGATATGTGATATGGGTTGTACACTTTACATGATCCTTTTCTCATAAGTATACATGCCCTTTGCAGAATGTGTAATATGTTTAGCATTTTTAAAAAGTAAGAGAGAGCATAAGTTTTGCTGTTGAATTTGTACTGCCCAGAAGAAGCGAGATAGGAGTGGCAGATATTTTCTTCCATATTGTGACGTACATATGAGTGAAATGGAGGATCGAAAAAGAAAACAAAATGTAGGGTGAAAACTCGGTTCCATCTGTTATTGTTTGGATGGAGGCAGCTCTGAATGCGAGCTTGCAACTGATTGTAAGAATGGAATGGGGTTTAAGTGGGCTAAATAATTGGAGACTGGTTATGACATTTTGATTAAAAAATGAAAAATGAACCAAATTAAACATACATGGATGAATCAGTCACAACCAAATCAATGCGATGCATTTAGAAAATAGATAGTGTGAATTTTATTTCATGCTGACTTTTAAGTATAAACAAACTGAATTTCAACATCGAGCTACAGTATGTTTACATATTGTATGTTTTTGCTGAATTCAAATTCAAAAATGCAATCCGAATGCAATGTTTATATGAACCTTAATCAAATCAAAGAACATATCTGTTTAGATCACATGTATTCCAAATGAAAGTTCTACGCACACAAAGAGCAACATTTACCATAGCATTATCATAGCAACGAGAAGTAGCAACGATAGGAAATGCTAAGTGGCATATTTACATTTTGACATACTGCACCTAACAATATGCCAAAACAGCTTTCTTCTCAAGTTACTAACTTTGCTCATTCAATTTGGAGTAACCATAGCTTCATCAGGGCAGTATTTAATTTAAAAAAAGGGAAATTTGCATGATCCCTTAACATTTTTAAAAATGATAGACATTTAGCAGAATCTGCAAGGGGAATTTAAACCTACGATTACGAACAGGACCGTAGCAGTAAAGGGCGTTAAGAGGTGACCGCTCTGCCAATTGAAGCTTTATGCAGTGATTTCACACCAGTGCTGAGATGCTATGCATTGTTGAGCTCCAATGGGCACAAATAATGGTGACTGGCGTGTGTGAGAAAGCTTGTGAGAGAGAGATTTTAACTCACCTTCATATTAGTCACATTGTCCTTTTATAAACAACAAAACAAAAGTAAAGGGGAATCAAGATTGTGTGGCTTACAAAAGTACAACATAAATGGTTTGATCTAAACAGAGCTACTGCTATTACTGTGTGCTAAATTTCTCTTTAGCATATTAGGAGCAACATTTTAATATGTTGAATTCTTTCAACTTTCCAGCCTAGCCTATATAGCAAAATGCTAACTCGGGTTGAACACATCTGAGCTGTGTGACTGGTAAAGAAGCACTAGTCTGTTAATCCCTTTGTCTCATCACTAAAGAGCTGATTGGCTAAACTCATTGACTATTGTAAACCACATCAACACCTCCCACTAATCTGGACAAAAGGTTTTTACCAGAGTAGTTGCTATTTTTAACTTAAAATTGTTAATTGCCAATTAAAAAGCTGGAATAAAATAAAATGTATATAATTAGATGAAAACGTAAACTTACAAAAACTTAATAAAGTTAGAAATGTTGCCTAGTTAACTAACTGAAATAAAATAAGTTGAATTAAAGTAATAAAATTGAAATAAAATCATTTTAAACTAAATAGAAATATTAAAAAAAGACTAAATAAAAATGGCAAAAACCATAACAAGACTACTAAAACTAACTAAAATTGAAAAAATACAAATACATGCACCTTCAAAATATTAATAAACACTATAATAGTATATAATACTAAAAGAACACTGTTTTAAACAAAATACACATTTTTTAATGTAAAAATGTCAACAACAAGAACAGTTATTTCTTCAATAATTCCACATTTTATACAATGCATGAATATATACAGTAATTTATGATATTAAATAAGACTACTAAAGTCTTTTGTTAAATATAAAACAGCTCTTAGAGGGAGATTTTTGCCTGACAAACGTGAGGTGATGCACATAAAATATAAATGTTTAAAATATAAATGTATAAATATAAAAGTTATAGAAGTAATTGTACAGTGAGATGTAAGTGCTGTAAGCATAAATGAGCATTTGCATAGCTAATAATAACATAATATGTAAACAAAGATATTTCTAAAATGTGGCAGTTGTAAGCAGGAATACCTTTGTCTCTGTGCGGCGTGTAGTTCCATCCTCTGAGGTAACCACAGAAACACGAGAGGTGGGTGTGCCGGGGTCTTCCTCTATAGTTACAGTCTCCTCCACAACCTCCTGGGGCTCCTGCATCATGGATGTCTGGTTACTGGGGCTCTGCTCCTGTGGGACAAGCAGAGGGCGGTGGTTCAAGGTCAAAGGTCACTGCTGTGGGATTAGCTGGGCATTCAAGAAAACCTTTTTACAGATTTAAATTATAGATGAGGGAATATTTGATAATACTTTGGTAATCCTTTCTACATGTAAGAAAGCAAATATGACTCGCTCACTAACTTTAACCCTAACCCAAATGTTGATGTTCGTCTCGAAACAAAAGCAACACATTTTGTATGTAATTAAACTTTTGGAAACTTAAACAAGTAATACTTCTGGTTGTTATATATGATAACATATACATACATACACATATACATACACACACACACACACACACACACACATATATATATATATATACACACTGTATATATACTGTATATATATAGGCAAAACTATAAATTATTCAGACACCAGATATATATTTTTTTACTGGTGGGTGCAAGACACTATAGTTCATTTATGTAAGTGAGGATGGCAAAATAAAGTAAACTGTGACATATTATAACCAAAAATTCTTCATACAGTGGACTACCAGTAAAATGTATACAAATTTGGGACCAAAAATTATTCAGACACTTTGACCTGACCATGTTTTGCTTAAAGGGGTCAAATAATGGTACATGCACTTTTACAAGTTGATTGTACTGAAATGTGTGTTGGCAGTGCCTGTACACAGCCATCATATAATGATAAAAAATCTATCCAGTGGTTTTGTTTTAATCTCCTTATATGTTTTCCCCTGCCTCAAATCGAGCCGTTCGAGCCTGTGACGTCACAAGCTCGCACGCCCCTCCCACGATTGTTGAATGACAGCCGCGTTTCAACACAGACCCGCCCTCGCTCGTGAGCTAGCTGTCAATCATAGTCTGCGCGGACCGGCGCGGTCATTGTTGATATGCTGGAGCACTGTCTATGAGCAGAATGGCATCTAAGCGATTGTGGTGTTCTGTTCTTGGGTGTAATAATGAACACAGTCATTTTAATGTTCCTAAATCCGAACCGCTGAAGACGCAGTGGCTGAGTTTGTTTTCGAAGGGAATATTCCCCACGAGCAACGTCAATGCTCTCATGTTTGCGCGAATCATTTCACACACCAGACTGCTTTATAAACGAGGAGGTATAAAGCTGGTTTTGCTAAGAAGCTGCTCCTGAAAGGATCGGTACCATCTATTCGTGTTCCTGCTGAACCTCTAGAACAACTGAAGTGAGTGTAACGTTTTATTAAACTTTATATTAATATTTATATTAATCTTTGCAAATCGCTAGCTGCACTGCACGCTTCACAATTAATGCGTCTAAGGTTTACACTCAGGGTATATTACGGCATGTTTTCTATGTATGACGTTCTCAATATAATGCATAATCCCATGTTTATACTGAACAACGTGTTATAGTTATTGTGTTATTGTGTTACAAACGGTGTACGCATAGAACAGAGAGGCGGAGTCAGCAAAGCTCATGATCATTTAAAGTCATATGCACTGAAACGGCGTGCTGAAAACAGAGCTGTTTTTTACCAGGTAAAATAAGTGTTTTCTTACAATACTAATGAGAATTTTTAATTAAAGTATATTACAAACTTTTAATTTAGACCCTAAAGAATCATATTAGCTTGTACAAAAATGGCATTATATGACCCCTTTAAGTGTTTTTTCTTTAATTGCTAATGCGACCTTTTTACACCACAGACTGAACAAAATTAAGCATTGCTTGTTAATTGGTTGACCTAAATTGGTATTATCTAATTGTGTACTTAAATTTAACAGCTGACAGCTGTTAGACTTAATTCATTTGTGAGACAGTCTAACAGAAGGATGGCCAAAACCAGTTAAATATCAACTGATTTGATAAACTGTATAGGCCTAGTGAATAAACTGTGATAATGTGAGAAATGTAGAGGGCGTCTTAATAAATTTAGGGTTGACTGTGTATATATATATATATATATATATATATATATATATATAGAGAGAGAGAGAGAGAGAGAGAGAGGTTGGTTCAAAATAACATTTATTTGAAATAGAAATCTAGGCTTGTCACCTGTTTTTAAAATTTAAGCCATGAAATAATAAAGGCTTTTTATATTTTTCTAAAAACTATTATTCGAGTGCCTTGGATTGTTTTGTCTTATGAGTGAAATCTTTTGTAATATAAATATAAATAGAACTCTTTATGTAAAGGTCTTCACTGTCAGTTGTGTATGTGTACACAACATGTACTGTATTATGCAGCAAAAACAGAATTATATTGAAAATGCTGGAGAGTTGAATCTTCAGGGACAGGGTACAATAATAAAAGAAAAAAAAATGCTTGAGAGAGTAGAAACAGAACACCCCTGAGACCTTGTGTTATCAGACAAGGTAAATAAACAACAAGCAAACAAACAAAATTCCTGAAGCTATAGTACTTTTAAATGAAAATATGAAACAAAGGTGGTTGAGGCAACTGTAAATGACACAGAAAGAAACAACAGCAAACATTGAGGGTACAATCAGTCTGGGGAGAACTCTGTAATCCACACAATTTCGTGTGTGTGTGTGTGTGTGTGTGTGTGTGTGTGTGTGTGTGTGTGTGTTGGCAGCAGCACAGGAGGGCTGATGAGGGATGATGCCAGAGGTAGCCATTTGTTTTCCATCCATCTTTGAAGGCATTAACGAGCAGGCAGTTTTTCATTGATTAGCATAGCGGAAGGCTTCAAAGTCTGTGGCAGGCCAAATTGATCCGTAGCCCATCTCACTAATCATTGACTTCTAGCCTTTCATGTGTCAGTATCATTCCCCTGCGTTGGCAGTTCGAGCGGCTGCCTGTCCAACCTCAGAACTGCATTTTTCTAAGAGAAACTGAAGTCAAAAGAAACTTTTTCTTCCTTCTGGAGTGATTTCGTTCTAATTGTTCCATTAATTGGTCTAAGACAGGGGTGTCAGTATAAGTGAATTGACTGAAACCGATGATTGATGAGGATAAAAACATCTTATCTGAAGTGCCTCACTCCTAATAGCTGAGTGCCACATGGATTATGCAGGCGTACCACAGAGAAACAAAGCTTTGATTAACTTTCTGACAGCCAAGAAGCAAGCTTGAGCAGAATTCAATATGAGAAAGTAATGAGATACTTTTAAAGAGCCTATTAGCACCCCATGTGAAAGCACAGATAAATATGCCTCTTTTCAACATGAATTCTTTAAATGGGAATCATGGCATAACATGAGAAATGGACACTGTTTCTAAATGGCATTATGTTAATAGGAATTGAAACTGGGTCTTGGTTCTTCACATATGTTGGTTGCACATCATGGTCATTTCTTGGCAGCCCGAAGGGACCTATATATTATATCTCTATGTATGGAATTACAAAATCTATATTGAAATTTTGTTTAGTTCTCAGACTAATAAATTCTTAATTATTTTATAAAATTCTTGTAACTGTCCATTATTTGTAAATCATTCAAATTGAAATTTACAAGATTTTTTATTAAAATCCATTAAGGGATCATGTCCATACTGAAGGACAGCTGTGAAAAGCTGTGAAGACTAAAATAAATTCCAATGTTGTTAAAGACAAACATCTAAAAACTAAAGAAAACGGTAAAAAAAAAGAAAAAAAGAAGATGTCTCCGGTTATTGGTTGAATTATCATGAAACAGAGGCTACATCAAAGGTCGTCTCATAAAACTCTCTGCTCGGAGGAGGATACTCTTGGGAGCAGCTTCAGAGAGGCCAAATATCACTTTGTAGGAGCTACAGAGTTCAGAAGCTCAGCAGAAAAGGGTTTAAGACAAATTCAAATAGGAGTGAAAAGATGTTTATGGGAAATAAATTACTTCTCTATTGCATCCAAAGTAAAAAGCACCAGATATTGTGCATCATTGTCCTGCTGTCCACTGAAAACATGAAGAGAATGTATCATGAATATAAAAATATACACACTTTTTTTTCATAGTGTATAAAAAACTGCCGGTGAAAAATACTAAAATACTTAACTATTATTTAAGATGCATACATTCTCTGAAATTAAGTCTTGGCATCTTATGAGGTATTGCTTCTAAACTAAACTGACCTTGTTTTTAAGGATGTTCAGATATTTTTTCTGGAAAACAAGATCCACATGCTGAATTTTTTCTTTTTTTTAACATTTTCTACAAATCCTTAAAAACTCTGATAGATATTTTTTGTTCTACTACAAAAGTTCCTCACATTTGAACCTCATGATCAGCACAGCACTGGCCCTTACCCAAACCCTTAGAGAAATATACGGAAACAAAATGAGATCTGTGGGAGAGCTGGAGCCAGATCTAGTTTATTTACAGTATAAAAATAAACACCTGACCATGACATCACCTTTCAGGATACACACAGTATGCAAAACAGTTTCATGTTCACCAGCCATCCATGAAGTTTGTTTTCACAGTGAAAATTACCTTTAAATGATGGGGCATAAACCCACAAAAAAATTCTACAGCACTCATGAGCACGTTTTTTTGTGCAAAAAAGTCTCCTCAGTCAGCCGGACAGAAATATAGCTCAAAGACAGACTGAGGATTTTGCCACCAACCTGAGCATCATTCAGTGGTGTCTTTATCACGGATGATCCGCGTCGCATGGGGGAAATCTGCTGCCACAGATAGCAGCTTTTCCTTTATGACAACCATTACACAGGTGAACTCCTGAACCCTGATTTAAGACGTTCTAATTTTAGAAAGAAAGGAACACCTACAATTCCTTTCTTTCAGACATAGACAGTAGACTGACGATAGTTAGGGCATGTCTAATACATTAACCAAAGATTTCTTTACAACAACTTTTCAAACAACTCTCTGAGCATTGAAAACAGATTAAAAGCTGTGGGAGAGTCAGGCGTTCCTTAGCAAAATGAACTTTGTTAAGGAAACAAGTTAGAGAAAGAACAAGAGCGCAGTTCACCAAGAGTTTCACCAAGGCCTTTTCATGAGTGTTATATCACGTTTCAAAACCTCTTGTGTTGAATCTGCACATAATTAATAGTT